TCCATCCAAAGTATTATTTAACAATGTAACCAACAAAAAAATTATTCTTATTTTTGGAGGCGTTTGCTTTTTTGGAATACTATGTCTTCGAAATCCATTGTTTATTTTATACTTACAGTTCATCTGAATGAGGACTGGGTTTCTTTCAAGTAAGCAGGAGCCACATGTGACTGGTGGCTGATGTATTCACAGCGCAGCTTGATAGCAGTTCAGTGTCACGATTTCTGTATTTGTTTTTGAAATGAGCTAAACTGCCAAACCTACATATAATACACCTGATAGAATTATATTCTTAATATCATTTGATTCGTTTCTTTAGGATCAACAACTGATTTTTTTCACTTTGCTAACAGAAAAAGTATTATTGTTAAATAGGTACCATGTGCATATGAGAAAACATTTCACATCATTAAATGGTATGAAATATAAAAAGTAAAGTGTCCTTGGCCGGGCGCGGTGGCTCACACCTGTAATCCCAGCACTCTGGGAGGCTGAGGTGGGCGGATCACGAGGTCAAGAGATCAAGACCATCCTGGCCAACATGGTAAAACCCTGTCTCTACTAAAAGTACAAAAAATTAGCCGAGCGTGGTGGTGCACGCCTGTGGTTCCGGCTCCTCGGGAGGCTGAGGCAGGAGAATTGCTTGAAACTGGAAAACTGAAGCTGCAGTGAGCCGGGATGGCACCCCACACTCCAGCCTGGCCACAGAGCGAGACTCTGCCTCAAAAAAAAAAGGAGCGTCCTTTCATTACATCTCCAAGCCGTCTCCTGGGGTAACCACAATCCCGTATACATGCAGATTTTTTCCCACATGTATATGAGTTATGTATATCTTTTTAAAGTTTCAATGAGAGCATAACTTACTTTTCATAGTCCTGATAAAACACCAACAAAAACTTCTCTATGTGCATAAGATTAAATAGGATATTTTCATATGTCAATTCTTCTTCTTTTTTTTTTTTAAGATGGAGTCTTGCTCTGTTGCCCAGGCTGGAGTGCAATGGCAATTTCGGCCGCCTCCCGAGTTCAAGCAATTCTCGTGCCTCAGCCTCCCGAGCAGCTGGGATTACAAGCATATGCCACCTTGCCTGGCTAATTGTTGGATTTTTAATAGAGACAAGTTTTTATCACGTTGGCCAGGCCGGTCTCACACTCCGACCTCAGTTTATCCACCTGCCTCAGCCTCCCCAAGTGCTGGGAGTACAGGTGTGAGCCACTGCACCAGGCCCCAATCTATTCTCTCTAACTGCTTTTTTCCCCTGGCCTAGAGCTCCCTACCATTCCACTGAAATGGATTTTAGAACACACATAGCATTATCACTAAGTCCAGTGGTATTTTTTTTTTTTTTTAATTGAGACAGAGTTTTGCTCTCATTGCCTAGGCGACAGTGCAGTGGCACAATCTCGGCTCACTGCAACCTCCGCCTCCCAAGTTCAAGTAATTCTCCTACCTCAGCTTCCCAACGTGCTGGGATTATAGGCGTGAGCCACTGCACCTGGCCATGATCTTTCATTAGAACTTCCATTAAGGCCGGGCGCAGCGGCTCACACCTGTAATCCCAGCACTTTGGGAGGCCGAGGCGGGTGGATCACGAGGTCAAGAGATCGAGACCATCCTGGTCAACAAGGTGAAACCCTGTCTCTACTAAAAATACAAAAATTAGCTGGGCATGGTGGCACATGCCTGTAATCCCAGCTACTCGGGAGGCTGAGGCAGGAGAATTGCCTGAACCCAGGAGGCAGATGTTGCGGTGAGCCGAGATCGCGCCATTGCACTCCAGCCTGGGTAACAACAACAGAGCGAAACTCTGTCTCAAAACAAAACAAAACAAAAAAAAAAAACTTCCATTATTTTATGGCATTTAGTTTTAAAAATTATTCCTTCTGCAATGGAAAACTGTGGTTTACATAACACCATAACTTGTTTAGCTCTTCTCCCGCTTCTCTATGGAATCATTTTTTTTCTTCTCTAGAAGCTTTTCTGCTTTTAATCTAATTGCGGAAGTTCTTCAGGCTACTACTTGAGCAATTAAGTGCACCTTTTAAATTGTCACTGAGAATCCATTATTTTTAGCTTATCAACGTGTGTTCTACCGAACGCTGTTCCCACAAGACCGCACTAAAAAAGAATCAAGAACCATGACAAACACTTCTCCTTTGCCTACACATCCTATAGAGATCATAAAAATAAATCTTCTTTTTCCTGATTATACTTCCAGACGGAGTGAACATATGATACAATTCTGACCAACAAGGGATAAACTGAAGTCTGTTAACTTTTGCTTTTCTTACTGCTTTTAATATGAACTCAAAGCAGGAACTACAATAGGCAATTTGCAATTTTGAAGGATGGGCTAAATGAATGGCAGGGACATCAGCCTCCAAGCTGCGCTCAACATAGGTCAACAACTGCTTACCTCCTGAGTTCTCGCTACAGAAGATGAATAAAGCCTTATTGTAAGGCCAGCTGCCTTACCAGGAGACTGGACACATCCACCTGTTCTGCACCCAGCACCTATCTCTGCACTTGGCATTGGTCTCTGCTCCTGGCACCTGCCTCTGCACTCGGCACCTAGCTCTGCGCACCGTTCCCCTGGAAGGCTCGGGCGATGCAACCCTAGCCCGGAAGAACCGCCCAACAACCCGCCAACCAATAGCCCGCCCCATCCCAATCCCGCTCCCCTGGAGCCAATCAGAGCACCCAGCTGTTGCTCCTTACCCATAGCCACAAAAACCCCTCGCTCCAGGAAGTCAGCGTGACTTCTCTGGCCTTCCCACCACCCCACCATAGAACCTTGCCCGGGAGCTGAATAAATTGGCATATAATTTTTCTTATACTGGCCTCAGTTTCCTCATTTTAAACTCGGCAATAACCCTTACACGTATTTGTTTGGACTTCCATAATTAGGTGATTTTTACCTTGCAGCAGAACACACTCTTAACTAGATGTAAAAATGCTACACGCTATGTGTCCTTCTTAGAACTTCAGAATGCACATTAGAAAATCAGAGGAACTGAGAAATTCTCAGAAGAAACCTGTTGAATTCTGTTGAATATATCAACTCCTAAATGTAGTTGATCAAGAAGCCCTTTTCTTCTTCCTGTGCTAAACTACCAATATCTCATAGAATTACAGTTCTCTAGCTTTTTGCTTTTCAAAGTATAATTCCTAGACCAGCGATATCTGCATCATCTAGAAACTTGTTAGAAAACCCTAATATTAGGCCCCACCCTGGAATCAATTACATTTTAGCAAGATCTTCAGTTGATCTGTATGACATTAAAGTCTGAGAAGTGCCGCTTGGGAAACACTGATTTAGAGAATAAAGTACAAACCATCCTTAATATCCTTATGTGGCCTACAATTTCAAAGGCATCTATCATTACTATCCCTTAATGCCTACTTCACTAACCATGACACAAGCGTTGGTAAGCTATAAACAATGGATCATCAGTGACAATTTTAAATATGGGCTTAATTGCTCAAGTAGTAGCCTGAAGAACTCACACAATTAGGAGATCAAAAGAAGAAAAGCTTTTAAAGGAGAAAAAAAGTAGTTCTTACTGAATGCTTACTTTGTGCGAGGCATTATGCTAAGTGGTATACTTTTATAATTCTCAAAGCAACCCTATGAGGCAGGTACTACTGTAATCGTTATCTTGTAAATAAGATAGCTAAGGTGCAGAGAAGTTAAGTTGCCTACTGAAGGTCACATAGCTATTAAGTGGCAGAATCCTTGGCTTAAGGACTTAAGGATCACTAAACTATATTGGCTCTCTAAACTTTGGTTTCCAAGCACTTCCTTGCTGTGTGTACTTTACACACATGGTTTCCTCTGCATGCAATATCTCCCCATGTACATGTTGTTAAAAGGTCTCAGCTAAAAAGTCAGTTGTTCTGGGGAGCTTTTCTGATCCCCTATCCCCAAGCCAGGTCAGATCCTCCTGGTATACATTTCCCAGGGTCATATCTTTACTTCATACATAGCAGCTTTTAAAATTATGTACATTTTGTGATTCTATGATTAGTGTATGTCTTTATCAAAAACCTAAGCTCCATGTGGGCTTGAACTATATCCTCTCTGCCTGACATGTAGTTGGCCCATAAATATTTTTTAGAGTATCTTTTTTTTATTTTCTGAGATGGAGTCTCACGCTGTTGGGCAGGCTGGAGTGTAGTGGCACAATCTCAGCCCACTGCAACCTCAGCCTCCCGGCTTCAAGCTATTCTTCTGCCTCAGCCTCCTGAGTAGCTGGGATTACAGGCTCACACCACCATGCCCAGCTAATTTTTGTATTTTTTGGAGAAACAGAGTTTCATCATGTTGGCCAGGCTGGTCTCAAACTCCTGGCCTCAAGAGATCTATGTGCCTCAGCCTCCCAGACTGCTGGGATTACCAGCGTGAGCCACTACACCTGGGCTTTTGGCATATCTTTTACTCTCATCTGAAACGTTCTTTTCCTACTTTGCACCAATAATCCAAGTTCTATCCAGAACAAGCTATAAAGGATGGTGGCAAAACATTTGATTTAGCATCCGAAGACTTGGGTTTGAGGCCTTGTTCCCCTACTTTGTAACTCTGAGCAGTCACAAAAATGCAGACCCACTAATTCCCAGCTCTGCCAAATGGAGATGGTAATAACCTCACAGGATTGGCATAAGAATTAAAATGAGCCCTGTGAGAGATGTGTATAACCTACATACACATCCTAAAAATACGAGTAGCGTTTCGTAGTGATTAAGATCCTGGGTTGTGCTTAAAAGTTTCCACCCTGTAATCCAGAACCTGAGTTCAAATCCCAACTCAATATTTATTATCTCTGCAGTTGATTCGGCAGTCCATTATTTGCTGGATTTTGTCATGTGTTTTGCCAATTGCATTCATAATTTATTATGCATTTATGCTTGTATCTCCTAAGTCATGGTACATAATCTATGCTTTGTGTGTTTTGTCTGACATAAGCTTTTATCAGAGCCTTTTGTACACAGGAATTCAATAAATGGTAACACGATTTACATTTATTTGTTGAATATTGCATATCTGCTGTACCGAAAGTACATTAAGTAACAAAGGCAAGTAAGAAGGGTGAAAAGCAGTGCTCAACAACAGTTCTGCGTATGCTCAGAATTACTGTTTTTCAAATCACTTTAAACAAAAGCTGAACTGCAGAAATAAAAGCCCAGCAGGAACGATTAAACTACATTAGCAATAAAATCATTTGGCCTAATTTTCATAACCACAGATTTCAGAGAATACCACCACCCATGCCAGGTGTACCAGACAATCCCATTGTCTGTTTTAGCCGTGTAGGGGCCGCTGTAGTAAAACCCATTCAGGTTTGCAGAGTGACACCTAGTGGAAGGGGGGGGGGGGGAGAAAACAACCATTAGACCAGAAAAATACTGTTCAGAAACTCTAATTTTGCTAGCAAATACTCAGAACTTTTGAATTATGAATTCTGCCATTTTTCAGACAAGAAAATACTTACTAGTTTTCAAAAGCTGAGAAATTTCTACAACAGATGAATATTTTATTTTATTTTTATTTTTGAGATGGAGTTTCACTTTTGTTGCCCAGGCTGGAGTGCGATGGCATGATCTCGGCTCACTGCAACCTCCACCTCCCAGGTTCAAGCAATTCTCCTGCCTCAGCCTCCCAAGTAGCTGGGGTTACAGGCATGTGCCACCATCCCTGGCTAATTCTGTATTTTCAGTAGAGACGGGTTTTGTCCATGTTGGTCAGACTGGTCTTGAACTCCCAACCTCAGGTGATCCGCCTGCCTCGGCCTCCCAAAGTGCTGGGATGACAGGCGTAAGCCACTGCATCCGGCCTCATTTTTTTTTTTTTAATAGTAGAGACAGGGTCTCTCTATGTTGCCCAGGCTGGTCTTGAACTCCTGAGCTCAAGCAGTCCTCCTACTTCGGCCCTCCAGAATGCTGGGATGACAGGTGTGAGCCATTGCGCCTGGCCTCAGAGATGGGTATTTTAAACTGGTGAGTTTTACTGCCATAAAAAAATCTGAAAATACAACCCAGGCCACTCATAGTGCATTGAAAAATAAGCATTTCAATTTTTGACAGCTTTTAAACAAAAAATTAAAACGAGGAAACAAAAACACATCCCTTTAACCTCTAGCGTTACGACCTCCTGACTCAGAACAGTTAACCTAGTAGTTAGCAAGAGCTAACCAAGGTGAGTGTCAGCAAAGCAAGGCGTGGGGAAGGTGTTCTGCTGGCTTTCCTGGAAAATTTGCACTTACACATTCGTTCATCTGCTGCTAAGACCTGGCTTTCATGATTCAAACTCCCTTCCTTCCCTTCTTTAAATTGCTAGCATATCAATTATTTTAATCTCAAGGATAAGCAAATAAAACCTAAACCACCATTTAAAGTTTTCCCACCCATCAACCAATAATGACTTTTTCCCAGTTGCTGAGTTAATTTTTTACAGATATTGCTCCAACCTAGATGAGCTAGATTATTGACATTAAAAATGTTCCTTTCCTCCTTTGGAGTCTGCAGATTTTGTCCTTGATAGGAATAATTTACATATAAGAATATGTAATAAGTTTATGTGTATTATGAAAATTACCATATTCTTTTTTATTGATATAATTAGTGAAAACATGGTAGAATTAGGAGAAAAGGAGAACATTCACAAGAGACAGTTCTGAACATCTATGGAAAAACCCAAATTATTGAATTGAAAAAGCACCTAATCTACCCACAAGGCTGAATGGCTGGCTTGATCACTTATCAGCTTAATGATCACTCCTGGTGAGCATTCTCAAAGTTCTCCTAATTTAAATGAATGTAATTAGTTGAAAATATGTATGTTACATCTGCAAATGTCAAAGCCTACTGTGTTTTTAAAACAGCATGGAAAGTAATGTTAAAAAAGAAAATATGGGCCAGGTGCAGTGGCTCATGCCTGTAATCCCAACACTTTGGGAGGCTGAGGCGGGTGGATCACGAGGTCAAGAGATAGAGACCATCCTGGCCAACATGGGGAAACCCCGTCTCTACAAAAAATATAAAAATTAACTGGGTGTGGTGGCACGCACCTGTGGTCCCAGCTACTTGGGAGGCTGAGGTGGAAGAATCGCTTGAACCCAGGAGGCGCAGGTTGCAGTGAGCCGAGACTGTGCCACTGTACTCCAGCCTGGGGACAGAAAAAACTCCGTCTCAAAAAAAAAAAAAAAAAAAAAAAGAAAATATGGTAAATTGAGTCTCCAGAATATATATTTTTGCATATATTTGTCTGTCTAGAGACATTTGCTAACTGTATTTTTGTATTTGGTCTATGATTTGAATCCTAGGGAAAACTGACTCTGTGGTCAACATAAGAAACCTTTGCTATTCTAAGACCAATTTACCAGCATCCTTTAGTTTTTAGAGCAGCTTGGATGTGAAACTAGATTGGGGGATGATTGGGGTTTCCCTTGGTGAAGAAGTGGCTGTGAGCACTCACACAAGATGCTACACTAACAAACAAAAGTCATCAACATCCAGTGATTTGTTTGCTATGTGGAAAAACAACATTTTATAGGTGGGTAATATTTATGAAGTGCCAACATTTCATGTAAATTGGAAGAACTTATGGGACAGAAAACAGCAAGAGTAAAAAGGAGGAAAAGATGATAGTCAAACTTCACTAATAGTAGGCATGGTAGAAGCAGCACCAAGTGGGCTGGACACAGCGGCTCACACCTGTAATCCTAACACTTTGGGAGGCCGAGGCAGGTGGATATCCTGAAGTCAGGAGTTCGAGACCAGCCTGGTCAACGTGGTGAAACCTTGTCTCTACTAAAAATACAAAAATTAGTCAGGCATGGTGGTACACACCTGTAGTCCCAGCAGCTACTCAGGAGTCTGAGGCAGAAAAATTGCTTGAAACCGGAAGGCGGAGGTTACAGTGAGCCAAGATCGCGCCACTGCACTCCAGCATGGGCAAAAGAGCTAGCACCAAGTTTCTAGAACAATCTACTTTCTCTCCTTTAATGCCTATTGATTTTTCAACTGCGCAGCTTTATCAGCTCCTTTGATTCCAAGGATAGTGTAGGCTACGTGGGTGGCTTCAGCTAATGAATTGCCTTCCTTTGTTTTCCCTGAACCCATATCTTTAAAGTCAGGTAAATCATTCCTTTGCCCACATTAATATGAATGGTAGTTTTCATTCAGATGTCTTACAAGCCAGTCAGCTGGATAAAGTACGTGGTTTTGACCTCATGATACTATTAGTAATTATTTCTGCATATAGAATTCTTTTCAGAATCAAACATTGTTGATGCTCACAGACAACTTCATGAATTACAGGTAAGTTTTATGTCATACTAACCTAGAAGAACAAGGGGGAAAGAAAGAAGGAGTAGGAACAGGTGGAGAAGATGTTTTTCAAAATAACAGGAAAACCACTAGGGAAAAGACTATCATCACCTTCAAAAGAGAGAGAACTTTGTTTCTCTCCTTCATGCTGCTGGAAATACTCCAGCACCCTTACGAATCATCAAATATTAAATGGACTCAAATATTTTCTTTAAAAGGCAAAATACAGGAAAAAATGACTGTTGAAAACAGTCTGTACAGTGAGTACAACTGCAGTAGTACTCCTTATCTGCAGGGGATACGTTCCGAGACCCTTTAGTGGATGCCTTGAAACTACAGATAATACCAAATTCTGTATATCCATACTATGTTTATTCAGTCTGATAACTGAAACAGTTACGAAATGAACGAGCAGATAACGAAAATAAAATTTACCAAAATGAAGGACGTGATACTGATTGAAAAGAACCACTGAGTATCCACTGTAGTAAACAAAAAGAAGACCACAGCAATGTATTTCACTGTAAAATGTCAGAACTCTAAGGGGGGAATCACTAGGGAATAGGAAGGAAAAAATGATTTACAGTAGTTCACTCTGTTTTTTCCTATAATATACATACCTATGATAAAGTTAAGTTGTAAATTAGGCACAGTAAGAGATTAACAACAACTAATAACAAAATACTATGATTATGTAAAAATATGTCAGCTTTACAGCTCTTGTGCTTTGGGATTGTTATTAAGTCAAATAAGGATGATTTGAACACAAGCACTGTGAAACCGCAACACTGGATCTGATAGCTGAGACTGCTACTAAGTGTCACAGGGGTAGGGAGGGCTTTCAGCCTGAAGATGCCGGACAAAGGGATGCCCCACCTCCTGTGCAGAAGGAAGCCAGTGGTGCGACTCTTTTTCGCAGAATGACATGCAATTTAAAACGTATGAATTAGGCTGGGTGCGGGGGCTCACGCCTGTAATCCCAACACTTTGGGAGGCTGAGGTGAGTGGATCACATGAGGCCAGGAGTTCGAGACCTGCCTGGGCCACATGGTGAAACCCCATTTCTACCAAAAATACAGAAATTAGCTCATGTACTCCAGAAATATATAAAATATTTTTTATCAGTAAAAAAAGAAGCAACTATGTGCAATCAAAAATGGAGTTAATTTGCTGACAAAGTAACATAAAAGTATTCAGTCAGAGGGTAGAATTAGGTTTTTACCTAATTCTATTGTAAATGAAATTTCTGTGTTGGGAAAGGCTTGGATTTGATGAATTAATGAAAGCCATAGTAATTGAAAAGTAGTACTACACAGAAAAATTACAGCAATAACAATGCCTCTTTTGTGTGGTATGGGTGGGTAAGAATAGTTGGTTATTAGGATGCCAAATATTTTCCATACATTTATATCCTCTCTCTTTTTGAGAATTTATGCCCTTCTATTTATAACTTATCCATAATTCAGTTTACAAATGTTCTTTATAAAAGTAATAATTATTTTCTATGGCACTTAAACTTTACTAATGTACACAATGAAAAAATCTTCAAAACTCCTTTATTGCTGAAGAATTCTAATAAGAATGATTACTTAATAATACTAATATTACAAATAAAGATCAGCATTACCTCATAAATTGTGTTAATAATTAATGCCTGCCGGGTGTGGTGGCTCACACCTGTAATCCCACACTTTGGGAGGCCGAGGTAGGTAGATCACGAGGTCCTGAGTTCGAGATCAGCCTGGCCAACATAGCAAAACCCTGTCTCTACTAAAAATACAAAACTTGTCTGGGTGTGGTAGTGTGTGCCTGCAGTCCCAGCGACTCAGCAGACTGAGGCAGGAGAATTGCTTTAACCCAGGAGGTGGAGGTTTCGGTGAGCTGAAATCGTGCCATTGAACTCCAGCCTGGGCAACAGAGCAAGACTCTGTCTCTAATAATAATAATAATAATAATAATAATAATAATAAATGCCTATCAGTGAGCTATCAATTCCATTATGACTACGTTCATAAGACATCAAACCTGTTAAACCACCAGCCACCCTGATCTTCTTCTGCGCAGTTCCCTTCGTAGTTGTCATGATCTCTGTCCCATGTGCTGAATTTCATTCTTTGGTGACTAGCCCACCACTCCACCTCAGGATGAAAATTTCCCGCAAGGGAATCTCCAGCTGTTCCAGAATATTCCCCAATATTCAACTCATATAAATTCTAAAGAAAAAGAACAATTTCTACTATCAGTGGAGTTCCTCTATGACCATTTTACAATCAAGTTTATTTAATAAACAAAAGAACAGGCTCTACTGTATATTTTTATTTCCACTGACTTCAGGGTTATATTGCATATTTTAAGCATTAATTCATGGTTTTACTTAATAGAAAATTGTAGTACCTTTTCATCTCCGACTTTGAAATTCTTATATTGTGCATAACGGCTATTTTTTTCAAAATCTTCAAGGTCGATTTTTAAAGTGTAGTCTTCTAAAAATAACCAAGAAATTATAATTTTAAAAAACGTGTGACATGACATGAACTACTGTGGTTTAAAAATAATTCACTGCTCTATTTTACTTTTACCATTTCCTGTGGCCAAGAATCAGTTTTCAAAGATTGAGCAGTGACTCCATTGTATTTATAACAGGAACATTTTATTGTGTAATTTATTTGAAAAAAAGATGGATGCAATATTAAATGTAAAAAATTTCTACTAGCTCTCTCACAGGTAAAAAGCTAGTGCAATTCACTTAATAATGAACAACGGAAAAAATAAGTTGTTACTTAACGCAATCTAACAATGAAAAGATCGACTTTTTTGTTTGTTTGTTTTTAAGTTTAATAGCTTGTCCTCTTTTTCTTGATTTCAATAAGAATGTCGATCTGGAAAGTAAATGGTGACTATAATGACACTGTATAATCTTTAGTAGCTGAGCAACTAGGTTGTCAAAATGTGGTTGCCATTGCCTGCGTATGTCCGAACGTGGCGATTTTCCTGGTAGCGTAAAAGATTAGCCAGCAAACCATTTAAGAATAATTTGAGGAAGAAATATAAATCCTAATTGTTATCTGAAAACCTTCCTTTGATACTGGCTTGTAAGATCAAGAGAGTGAGAGTGTGAGCATCAATGTTTATAGAGTGGAAGTCATTGGAAGAGAATTTCAGAGACAATAAGGAAACATTCTTGAGAAATGCTGTAACACCGGCATTCTCAATGGCAGAGATGATATCATTACTGGAAAATACACTAACCTCAATGATGCTGAGTAAAAAGGTATTTCTGAAGAGTCGATATCTGCACGTAAAAGTATTTTAAGAATACAATGTATTGGGTATACATTCTGTTTTGTATATGCTAAAGAATGATATATGATGACAACAAATCTCTAAACATTAAAGATGTGCTTTGATGACTGATAATTCTAGGATGTAAAAAATGCATTACATTTTAAAATGATTAAAATAGTTGCTACCTTTAAGTAATCTTTTCTTTTTTATTGTTGCATTGTTTGGAAATAACAAAGACTATTCCTTTTTCAGAAACAGAACTCTTGTTGGGGCACCGAAGGTTATAAATCAAATTATTAGATCATAAGTGTTCTATCCTCCTACTTTGATAAATAAGATATAACAATGACCTGAAAAGCAGGTTAGAATTTAGAGTCTCACATTCCCTGGAGTTTCAAGCCAGACCATGGAGGCACAGAGAAAGAGAGTCCCTGACTAGTCCTATCACCTACGCCCTGTCTATGGTCAGCCTCTTTTCTCTTCCCATCCCCATCTTCATCAATCTTGGCAAGGGGCTTTGGATCCACTTGTGGACATTTTAGGCTGCATATCCAAGCTTTGTTCACATTCACAATAAAAGCCATTTTCAGCCGGGCGCGGTGGCTCACACCTGTTATCCCAGCACTTTGGGAGGCCAAGGCAGGGAGATCACCTGAGGTCAGGAGTTCTAGATCAGCCTGACCAACATGGAGAAATCCCATCTCTACTAAAAATACAAAATTAGCCGGGCATAGTGGCATATGCCTGTAATTCCAGCTACTTGGGAGGCTGAGGCAGGAGAATCTCTTGAACCCAGGAGGCAGAGTTTGCAGTGAGCCAAGTTAGCACCATTGTACTTCAACGTGGGCAACAAGAGCGAAACTCCGTCTCAAAAAAAAAAAAAAAAAAGCCATTCTTCAGCTTCCCCTCAAGCTTGGGGGTGCATACACCAGCAGCAGAAGAGGACAGACAAGGAAACAGCCTGCAGGAGTCCTAGAAACAAACTCAAGGCTGTTAGGGCAGGGAATGCTGGATTTCTCGTGTCTGGAGTCCCTTTAAGAAGGGATCCGGGATTCTCTTGGGCTTGTTGATCTGGCACCACAAATTCCTTGCCCCGGGGAGCTCTCTAAAGGTAGTAAAGGTTACATGAAACAAGGCTCTAGAGTGTTTAAGAGTAGCAAGGCAGGCTAAGTCAACTGTCTTTAAAAATACAGTGTTAGGTCGGGCGCAGTGGCTCATGCCTGTAATCCCAGCACTTTGGGAAGCCAAGGTGGGTACCACAAGGTCAAGAGATCGAGACCATCCTGGCCAACATGGTGAAACCTCGTCTCTACTAAAAATACAAATATTAGCTGGGTGTGATGGCATGCGCCTGTAGTCCCAGCTACTTGGGAGGCTGAGACAGGAGAACTGCTTGAACATGGGAGGTGGAGGTTGCAGTGAGCAGAGATTGTGCCACTGCACTCCAGCCTGGTGCCTGGAGACAGAGTGAGACTCTGTCTCAAAACAAAACGAAACAAAACAAAATAATAAAACTCTGTTATAGACCAGATGCTTGGTTCACACCTGTAATTCTAGCACCTTGGGAGGCTTAGGCAGGCAGATCACTTGAAGCCAGGAGTTTGAGACCAGCCTGGCCAACATGGTGAGACTGCCTTCTCTACTAAAAATACAAAAATTAGCTGGGTGTGGTGGTGTGCACCTGTAATCCCAGCTACTCAAGGAGGCTGAGGCATGAGAATTGCTTGAGACCAAGAAGTAGAGGTTGCAGTGGGCCAAGGTTATGCCACTGCGCTGCAGCCTGGGCAACGGGAGTGAGAATCTGCCTAAAAATAAATAAATAAATAAATAAATAAAAAATAAAAACTATTATAGGAGAGACGAAAAGTCTCAATTTTGGGGTGCTAACCATTTAAATTACTCTTTGTTCAGTAAGTAAACAAACTGCATTTACCATTTCTAAATCAATTTTATTGCCACTACTTCTAGTCAAGATTTGAGCAGGAGGGATAAAGCGATTCTCAGAGGTAATTCATTAGCCATAAGTGCTCTCATAATTAAAGAAAGCAGAGACAGAAGCACTGCCTATTGTCTGGGATGATGGGATACATGGCTGTGAGTCTAGGAACTGAAAAATACATTTTTACTGCCATGAGATTAGCCAGCCTGAGTACCAAGTTGAAACATGAAAGGGAACAGATTTGTTGGCAAAGTTCATCTGGGCAAATATGTACATCTAAATAACTTGAAAAATAATATGTTTGAATTTCATGTACTTAGAAAGAGCCAAGAGTTACTGCTTTTCATAGTTTCAACAAGAAACCAGATAAATATGAATGTGCAAATGAAACAGAAGTTAGTATGACAAATTTTATATATCTGGCACAAAACACTAAAAATTAGAATAATAGACATGTTGAAGGAAAGGAAGCCTTATGTAAATTTGGAAAGACAAAGAAAGTGTAAGGTTTCTAGGATTACTCATCCTAACATTTATTATGCTAGTGTCTCAAAGAACTTTATAACTGTAATCCTACTATTATAAATATACAAACACCAATCACTTTTCTGAACTTGGATGGAACAAATTCACTCCTGTTTTATTTTAATTAATTAATTTATTTATTTATTTTGAGATGGAGTCTTGCTCTATCACCCAGGCTGGAGTGCCTTGGTACATAAAATCTTGGCTCACTGCAACCTCCGCCTCTCGGGTTCAAGCCATTCTCATGCCTTAGTCCTCAAGTGGCTGGGATTACAGGCATGTGCCACCATGCCTGGCTGATTTTTGTATTTTTAGTAGAGACGGGGTCTTACCATGTTGACCAGGATGGTCTTGAATTCCTGGCCTCAAGGGATCCACCCACCTCGGCCTCCCAAAGTGCTGGGATTACAGTCATGAACCACCATGCTCAGCTGTTTTATTTTTAATGCATTTGCAGTGTAACTTAGCATGCTCTCTTGCGCATTACAGTTGCCTTTGATGAAGCATTCAGGATCAGACCTGAGTGGGACTGACTATAAGCTTGGACTACAACAGAGGTAGGGAAGACAGTGGGTTGGAGCAAAAGAATATGGGAGATAGAAGCTTGGACAATTTCTTATCAAAGCAATAGTGTTTTAGACAAATATAAACTCTAAAGAAAAGAATTTAAAAGTATACAGGGAAAATTGTCCAGATGTCTGCTATTTACTTGGAAATATATATACAGAAAAGATGGATTGATAGATGGATTGAGTAACGGGCAAATTGATAGATATGTGATAAAAACAAGCAAAGTAAAATGCTAATGTAGGGCCGGGCGCGGTGGCTCAAGCCTGTAATCCCAGCACTTTGGGAGGCCGAGGAGGGTGGATCACGAGGTCAAGAGATCGAGACCATCCTGGTCAACATGGTGAAACCCCGTCTCTGCTAAAAATACAAAAAGAAAATTAGCTGGGCATGGTGGCGCATGCCTGTATTCCCAGCTACTCAGGAGGCTGAGGCAGGAGAATTGCTTGAACCCAGGAGGCGGAGGTTGCGGTGAGCCAAGATCGCGCCATTGCACTCCAGCCTGGGTAACAAGAGCAACACTCTGTCTCAAAAAAAAAAAAATAATAATAATAATAATTGTTAATGTAGGATCCAGGAGGTAGGTTGAAACTTCTTTCAAATTGGTTGCATCTTTGAAAAAATTTCAACATAAACGATGAAAAGTATGTGGAAACAAGGACATTTAATATATTACAGTATTTTATTGCAAAAATAGCCCCAATTCCCTAATTCTTCACCTCTCTCTCTTGAAATATGTCTTCATAACTCCTCCTATTGTTTATTTCCTTTTTTAAAAACATCTCGGCTGGTCCTGTGATTTGCTTTCACCAATAGAAGAAAAATGACTCTGTGCCAGTTCTGAGCCTAGATCTCAAGAGACTTATAAACGTTCACTCTTTTTTCTGGAACCCTGTCTGTGCTACAAGAACAAGTAGCGAGCTGGAAGATGAGAGACCCTGTGGAGCCAAGTGGAATCCTTCCATCTAGAGCAACCACTTCAGTCGGGAAGTTGATTGCAGACCTATGAGCAAGCCTAGCCATGATGAGCAAAATCACTCAGCCAAACTGCAGATTTGTGAGAATTAATAAATGGTTGTTGATTTTAAGCCACTAACTTAGGAAGGGGATTGTTACTCGGTATTACTGTGATATTAGATAACCAACGCTGCATATATAATTTTCAGGAACTCAAGGCATCAAAAAGAAATAATTATGACATTGTATATCCTTTTCAGAAATAGAATATATACATATATATATATATATATATATATGAATATGAAAACGGTTCCCCCCAACCCAATTCTAGTTTCTTTTTTCTAGTTCTAATTTTAGGCAGCCACATTTTACATTTGGGATTATTGCCCGAAAGTTATCACTACTATCCGCAAATTGTTGCAATTATTGAATTAGTTTCATCTGATTAAAAAAATAGTGTTGTTTTTATTGTATTTCAAATAAATTTGACGTCATTCAAACCTTACCTTGAGTGGTCAATAAATGAAGATTTTTATTGCCCAGCCAATATTCACCATGTTTTTGGACAAAATTTCCAAAGCCATTTTCATAGTCATTCCATCCTCTAAAAAATGTTAAGCGGAAGCTGATTTTAGCAAAACTCCATTTGTGGTACCAAGGTGACCCCCACCCGCCCCCTGCTACCACCACCTCCAATATTTTCTTGATTAGTTAATTCATTTTCAGTATTACTTACAGAAAGTGAAATTCTGTCTAATTAATAGACTTCAGAATATGATCAAAATATTTAACTTATAAATCTCATATTTGCTGCTACAAATAAATTCTTATGTCATAGTTAGCACACCTGTTAAAGTTTTCACTGCCATCAGATCGTCTCTGAATTACAGTCCATCCTCCTCCATCGGACATGTCACAATAAACAGAAAATTCTGCTGGGCTCTGGAGAGGTTTGATTTTGTAGAATCCACTGAGCTTATACCCATCATTGAAAACCTCTGAACAATCTGTTGTTAAGACAAGGTAATGTAACATTTATTATGTGTCTTTTTCCCCCTCTAGAGACCCTCTGAACGAGACTACTCAGTATCAATGGAAATAGATAACACATGGTATAGAAATCAGCGTCTTAAATTTGCATCTTGTATATCTTCCAGTGGATATTAGGAAAGTTTTATTTATTTTGCTAATATTTGTCACCTGAATCTTTGATATAATCATGGGTAAAAAGGAGTGAAATAAGAATCTAGTTTTTTGTTTCTTTCTTCTTTTTTCTTTCTTTTCTTTTTTTCTTTCTTTCTTTCTTTCTTTCTTTCTTTTTTTTTTTTTTTTTTTTGCAGAGATGGTGTCACTATATTGCCCAGGCTTGTCTCAAACTCCTGGCTTCAAGGAATCCTATCCTCCCACCTCAGACTCCCAAAGTGTGGGATTACAGGTGTGAGCTACCACACCTGGCCTAGTTTCTAATTTCTGAGTTTTGTAGAAAACAATCTTAAAAAGCAAGTTATGTGTAGTGTGCTAATAACACTATATTTAGAACTTAGAGTTCTAAGTGGAACTTACAGTTTTATCAGATAGAATAGTAGAACTTATTTCACCCATGAAGCTAAAAATGAAAGCAGAAATGTAACACCAAACAACTAAGTTAATACAGGTTATCTTGACCTAGAGCATCATAAATTTTTCTGGACATCTGGAAATGAATCCAAAATACTAATCTTGTCAAAGTCTTATAACTTCTTAGCCTTATACGATTTTTTACTAATCTACTGAAGTTTCTAAAAGTCCATACATTCTAAGATGTTTTTGCTAAAAACAGCAAGCTTCTGCTATTCTTTTCATTGTTTAATTATTTTTTGCTGTGGTGTTTCTTCGAACCCTCAAGCAAACATAGCTACCCCTTTGTCACCAAAGAGTGATATCTGTTTCTTTCTTTCTTTTTTTTTTTTTTGCCTTTGAGACAGAGTTGCTCTGCGGCCCAGGCTGGAGTGCAATGGTGTGATCTCTGTTCACTACAAACTCCCCCTCCCAGGTTGAAGTGATTCTCCTGCCTCAGCCTCTTGAATATCAGGAATTACAGGCATGAGCCTCCACACCCTGCTAATTTTTTTTGTATTTTTAGTAGAGATGGGATTTTACCACATTGGCCAGGCTGGTCTCAAACTCCTGAGGTCAGGCAATCCACCCACTACGGCCTCCCAAAGTAGCAGAATTACAGGGAGCCACCATACCCGGTCTAAAGGTGATACCTGTTTTTTAACCCACTTGAGGTTAATATAAATTAAAATCCATTGGGTCTCATCTGGGTTGATCTGCACAGACTTAGATAATGTGGCAAATAGGGACTTCTCTATTGTTTAGATGCATAGCAAACTATGTTTTAGGATGACTAAAGTAGTGGCCACTAGGAACAGATAGTCTCAAGAAGAGCCATCTACAAACATATGAATAAAAATACTATAACCTCCTCAAATTTCACTTTTACCCTTATCACTTTGTTAGTTTCCTTTAAAACATTTTTTTTTTCTGATTGGATAATTCCATTCTTGTAGCATATTTTAAAGTTCTTTTCGTTTTCATTGCGTTGATACTAAATTGCCAAATTTACAGCTCTCTTGTTTTGATACAGATAAAATATGTTGCACGTTAAGTAGGTTGAATAGGTCATAGAAATCAGAAGAGAAAATAAAACAAAGAATCTCAGTCATTTTATAAAGTCTTCACATGGTTGGGAACAATCTTTGGTGAGATGTTTATCTTTGTAATGATTTAGGCTTTATTTAAACATTTATTTTCCAAGATTCAGAAGCACAAGTGTTCAAATACATGCTAAATTTTAAAAAGGATCCTGTTTTGGCAATTAAACGAGAAGCAAAACAAGGAGAAAATGATTCCCTAAAATTAGATCAATGTTGTTTTAAAGTTTACATCTTGTAGTCAAGTATATTGTACAACACTTTCATTAAAGTAAGCAGATTTTAGCCCTATTAGGAAAGAAGCTGTTTGCTTACATTTAATTTCCTACCAAAGAGCTGAACACGAAAGACTCATAAGGTTCAAACTACTTTCCAGGCAACTATGGAAGTGATTAGCTATAACATTTGCCTCTGGAAAACTTAGTGAATATAAAGGTTTCAGCCAACATTTTCTACTTGTTATTATTTTATGACAACTGCAAGCTTGTTATTTTTTTGGTCTGTTTTTTTTTTTTTTTTTTTTTTTTTTTTAGTTTTCCTTCTCCCCAGAAGAAAATGCCAAACTCAACTTAAGAGAAGCTTTCAACTGGAAAAACAAAACAAAACAAAACAAAACAAAACAAAACAAAACCAAAAAAAACCCCAAAAAACAAAAAAAACCCAAAAAACAAAAAACAAAAAAAAAACAGAAACACAACAAAACCCCCAACAAATAAATAAATATTTAAAAAAAAAAAAAAAAAAAAAAAGCACCAGTTCAACTTGCTCATAGCAAACAAGTAAAGAAGTCTGCTTTGGGAAATGAGACTTAAACCGTAACAGCAGAAAGTTTGAACAATGTAGAATTTAAAATATAAACTTGATATTTAAAATGATAATTTTCAAAACGTTCTGATCCACTCACCCCTGGAGAATAAGTAGAAGAAAAGTAGGGTTAAAGAGATTCATATTCATGGGAGTTTTGTTTAAAAAACAAAAGAAAGAAGGCTGGGCGTGGTGGCTCACGCCTGTAATCCCAGCATTTTGGGAGGCCAAGGCGAGCCAATCATTTGAGGTCAGGAGTTTGAGACTATCCTGACCAACATGGTGAAACCCCGTCTCTTTAAAAAAAGAAAGAAAGAAAGAAAGAAAAATATTTACATAATACTAGAGTGAGGTCAAGGCATCCTGCCTTCTTTTTTGACAAACGCTGTACTAAACTGGGTGATGTGCCTTCTTTCTCTGAATGTTTAAGCTCATAAAGTGAAATGACAGCTTGCCAAATGGGCTTTGTCCTGTTGTTCCCGGATGGTGACTGAGGCTCAAAGCTGAGAACCAAAGGCACAAAGTACCCCACATTCTAAACACAAAAAGAGGTCCGCAGCAGAGGTCAGATTCCACTCCCCAGAGCATACTGGGATACGCCAGAACTAGCCCTGCTACCGACATCTCAAACCCAGGCAACAAAAAGAAAAAAAAATAAAACGATAAAGGAAGGTGGGTACTTAGTAGGTGTATGTACTTACTGAGGTACATGTGATATTTGGATACAGGCATGCCGTGCATAGTAACCACATCATGGAAAATGAGGTGTCCATCCCCTCAAGCATTTATCCTTTGTGCTATAAGCAATTCAATTATACTCTTTTTGTTATTTTTTTAATGTGCAATTAAATTAATATTGAGAGAATGCTATATTCTTGTAGGGTAGAGTGAGTGGGCTCTCTCCCTTGAAAACAAAATATAATATTGTCCACAGATATCTGACATTCACTGAGTACTTATTTTGCTCTAATATATTAAAGATATTAACTCGTTTAATTAAATTAAATTAATTTATTTATTTGAGACAGGGTCTCATTCTCTTACCCAGGCTATAGTGCAGTGACACAATCATAGGTCACTGCAGCCTCCTGCAATCCTGCCTCAGCCTCCTGACTAGCTGGGCCTGCAGGCATGCACCACCAAGCCTGGAATTTTTTCTTTCTTTTTTTTTTTTTTTTTCAGTGTTAGGGTCTCACTGTGTTGCCTAGGCTGTTCTCGAAGTCTTGGCCTCAGATGTTCCTCTCACCTCGGCCTCCCAAAGTTTGAGGATTACAGGCATAATTCATGGCACCTGGCCAAAATACATTCACTAATTTTAATAAATTTTAATCCTTACAACAAATACACAGCATTCTTATCATTGCCATTCTCCAGATGGGGAATATGAGACACATAGAGGTTATATAATTTGCCCAAAGGCCACAGCCAGCAAGAAGGGCAGCTGGACTTTGAAATCAAGCTTCAGAGTCAATACCTTAGGCCTCTTGGTATCCCGCCTCAAGATGTTCACATACAGATTGAGGGCTCCTGCAGAAGGGGAGATAGTGGAACCAGTGGACCTGCCGACTGAACAGCGATGGTGACGCCAGATTGTTGTGACTACCACCAGTTAATGTGAATTTGATACAGTAACCCTTTAATTCATAATTCAGCAGCACCCAAATGCTTAAAAAAAGAGACATCTTAATAATATGTTCTGTAAGATCATGTGATTTGTGCATTGTTTGCACAAATTGCTAGGTTGTATGTAATTGGGTGTTTTCCACCATCAGATAAATTAGAATTCAGAAAATAATTTAATAACAAAAAAGTAACTTTTAAACAAAAACAAAAAATTGGTATTTCTACAGATTATATATATGAATATTTAATTTTTTAAAATTTAAGGATGCCAAAAATATAAACTTTGATGTGAGCAAGTTCTTATATATTTTATACAATATTATATATATACATATTATACTATACTTTACTGTAAGTTTTATGTTATATATTTTATTTATTATTTGTTCTTAGTAACCTCTCTAGTACTATTTGCCTATATGCTAAAAAATAAAGAACAATTGAACTGTAATTATATTTTATATTTTATTCCCCCCTTTTCTCCTTTGATTGTACTTGATACACGAAAAATATTAAGTGTGAATCTAATGAATTCGGATTTTTTTGGCTTTTCTGTCAAAAAACAGTTATCTAGAATTCCTATCATCTATCTTATTTTTATAACAGTCTTAAATTTATAGTAATCATGATAAAATGTTTTTTCTGAACCATCTCTGTATGACGCTTTTATCTAACTCCTGCTTGTACTGTTAATCTTGCTCTGAACTTGGCACTGGAATTTCCAAGTAACTGATTTCTTGCCTTATTCCTTGGTGACCCTTTGCCTTCCAAAGTCTGCTCCCCAGCAGTGTGAACACAAGGATTGGATTTTTCGCTCTTGATATGATTTGGATGTGTGTTCCCACCAAATCTCATAGGGAATTGTAATTCCCAGTGTCGGAGGCAGGGTCTGGTGGTAGGTGATTGGCTCATGGGGGTGAAGTTCTCATGAATGGTTTAGCACCATCCCCTTCAGTACTGTACATCGAGTGAGCTCTCATGAGACATGGTTGTTTTTTTAAGAGTGTCGTACCTCCTCTCACTCTTCCTCCTGCTCTCACCGTGTGAGATGTGCCTGCTCGTGCTTTGTCTTCTTTTGTGATTGTAAGTTCCCTGAGTCCTCCCCAGAAACAGACGCTGCTACACTTCCTTTAAAGCCCGCAGAACCATGAGCCAATTAAACCTCTTCTCTTTATAAATGACCCAGCCTCCGTTATTTCATTACAGCAGTGTGAGAACGGACTAACACAGCCCTTAAGCCTCAGTCTTCCCATGACTGGTTGTAGAGGCCTGGAAACAAACATCTGATTTGCTATCTCCTGCCATAATTGATCCTTGAGTCTGCGTCAATAACCTGCTCAGAATGTGTTTGAATAGACACTACGAGTCTTGGGATTGGTTTGAAATTTGGAATAACGGTGCTCGGCTTGCATCTACCAGTTCCTCGCCCTTGCAATCAGTTTTGTACATACTTTTGGGATCACTTATCGGTATGCTTGTCTCTTGAATGATAGTCCGTTTACTTCCCAAACTGTTTTTCCCTGAACTGTCCCTGGTTCTTCTTTGCTTCAGAGGCACAGGTCATCTTCACGCCATAGCCATCCCCATGACTGCAGACCAATGGCTCTGGCCCCTTTCTGATCTCAAAGGGCCAGAGGTAGGCCAGTTGGATCAAGACGCTGGCCAACAGAGAAGCAGGAGCCCAGGGTGAGGAGTCTGAGCAGAGGGAAATAAGGATCATGGTAGAGAAAAAGGGAGCATTTTAAGAGTCACATGCGCTGCCATCTGAGCTAGCCAGGTGCCCTGAGGCATTTTATTGAAGCATAGCCTCTAAGGTTCTCACAACTTCTGTATCCTACACTTGCATGTTTAGAAGCACAAAATACAGATGTTTCTATTCCCATAAGATTGGCATCTCTTTGAATTCTACAGTCTTTCAGTTCTAGTCAAATATTTTCCCCAATTTATATTTGCTTATCTTGTCATTCCTCTCCCTATGAACTACCTTCCTTTCATTCATGAATATGAGGATCTACTGTGTTCTAGCCGCTCTAATCGTCAATAAAGAGGTACATTAAATATCATCTTAGACCTTACAAAGTGCCCAGTTAATGGACCACAATAGACTCATAAACAGAAATTACAATGTATCATCATTTGCTAGAGCAGACATATGGACAAAGTGCTCTAGCTAGCATCTTTTTGTTTCTGACAATCATTGTTTGTTTACTCTAAAAGATGCCTTTTACTTCTGGAAGAATTCAAATGAACAGTTTTCTGTAGAGAGTAATGATATGTGCAGCCATTAGTGTAATACGTTGCCAGTTTAAAATCATTTAATTCTGGGGAGAAATACCAACCTCATCAAAAGGAACATTATGAAACCATAAAATATACATATAAAAAAACTACTCTTTCATTTTCCTAAGTAATCTGGTTCTTTTTCCTTTTTCTGCTCCTTTATTTTTTACCTTATTTGCCACCCTGATGCCCTTAAGGGTTTTGGAAGGGAAAGTGCATACATGTAGCAAGGAAAGATACACAAATAAACACAAAGCTCAAATGCAAACATTCCCAGTTGTAATCTGCCATGTGTACACCATTTTTTTTTTTTTTTTTAGATGGAGTCTCGCTTTGTTGCCGAAGCTGGAGGGCAGTGGTCTGATCAACGGTCATTGCAACCTCTGTTCAAGTGATTCTCCTGCCTCAGCCTCCCAAGTAGCTGGGACTACAGGCACCTGCCACCATCCCCAGCTAATTTTTGTATTTTTAGTGGAGATGAGGTTTCATCATATTGGCCAGGCTGGTCTCGATCTCCTGACCTTGTGATCCGCCCACCTCAGTCTCTCAAAGTGTTGCGATTACAGGTGTAAGCCACTGCATCTGGTTGTGTACACCAGTATTTAAACAATCTATTGTCCTGATTTCTTACTAAATGCTATAAATTCTCAGATATTTAACATTCACATTAAATGACCATTCAATTATAGTCAAATATATTTTCCAATTTATGTCCGCAGAGATGGAAAAACAAAGCGTGAAAGAAGACATTTAAAATTGATACAATGCTTACTGCTGCCTGTTACTAAAATAGGAAAAGCTCTTTAACAAAACCCGAAGTGAACAAATAACTAGCACCATCATTGCACATGGGTGTGTAATGTGATTGAAACACTTAAGTCCATTCTGACCTGCATACTGCCTCTTGCCTCCAGTGTGAACGACACTACTCTCTTCTCCTTTATCAAGCATCTGGACTTCCTTCTCCTGCAAAAGATGCGTGATCTTGACCTGCTGCTGTTTGACCCGGGTCTCAAGCAGGCGCACCTGGGCTCTGAGCCGAGCCTGCTCCTGGGCACAGTCCTCAAGTGCCTGCAAAACAGGTGAGATGACATGAGTCTGCATCTCCTTTTCACGGAAAACAAGTGCTTTTTAAATATTTGGATAGATCAGTGATTCCATTTTGTCTCCCATTCCCATTTCAGAATATTATTCCAACCACAAAGCGGTTTGAACAGTTCTGCTACTACCTGCTATTTGAAGAACTGGAAATTATGACTTATGCTAAAACTTCTGAACTCAAAGGATCAAATAATAGAAAATAATCAGAATCACTATGCTAAGAACTTTATAGTTGTGTCATTCAATCCTCATAACAATTCCATGCTGTTCCATGAGGTCGGAACAGGCTCAGTCCTGAATGCCCGGTGGGTAAGGGGAGGTGGGATTCAAATTCAATTCAAGGACTGTGCTCTCAATCTCTACATGACATTGCTTATGTGTTTTCTAAATAGCAATGTGCTTTACAGATGTTAATTGTATCATTGTCATGTAAATCCCCATAATAAATGAGATTTTCAAATGGTTCTCTGGTATAAATACATATATATATACACATATATATATATACATACATATATATGTATGTATTTTTATATATGTATATATATAATCTTATGACATATGGCACCTTTATAAGGGATGGTGGTTTAGGACCTCATATCCTTGCATATCTCACTCATTTTCCTGTTGCTAGAAATTCTCCCGGAGTCCTTTTAACTTTCGTTTATTTGTTATTTTTCTCTCAGCTACTTCAAAAAGGGACAGGAGGAGCCTGAATCTATTATTTGCCTTTTAAGGATGCATGTGAATGAGTTTGCTCTTGTTGCCCAGGCTGGAGTGCGGTGACATGATCTCTGCTCACTGCAACCTCTGCCTCTTGGGTTCAAGCGATTCTCCTGCCTCAGCCTCCCAAGTAGCTGAGATTACGGGCACCTGCCACCACGCCTGGTTAATTTTTGGATTTTTAGTAGAGACAGGGTTTCACCATATTGACCAGGCTGGTCTCGATCTCTTGACCTTGTGATCCACCTGCCTCAGCCTCCCAAAGTGCTGGGATTACAGGCATAATGTATATATTTTGAGATGGAGTCTCACTCTGTCTCCCAGGTTGGAGTGCAGTGGTACAATCTTGGCTCACTGCAACCTCTGCTTCCCAGGTTCAAGCAATTTTCCTGCCTCAGTCTCCTGAGTAGCTGGGACTACAGGTGTGTGCCACCATGCCTGGCTAATTTTTGTATTTTTAGTAGAGATAAAGTTTCACCATATTGCCCAGGCTGGTCTTGAACTCCTGACCTCTGGTGATCTGCCCACCTCGGCCTCCTGAAGTGCTGGGATTGTAGACATGAGCCACCATGCCTGGCCTTAAAATATAATTTAATGCATATAATCTGATGACATATGGCACCTTTGTAAAGGATACTAGTCTAGGACCTTATATCTCTGTGTATCTCACTCATTTTTCTGTTGCTAAAAATTCTCCTGGAGTCATTTTAACTTCTGTTTATTTGTTATTTTTCCCTGAGCTACTTCAAAAAGGGACAGGAGCAGCCTGAATCTGTTACTGGCCTTTTAAGCATGCATGTAAACAAGTTTACCAGCTCCTGTCTAATGCGGCATCTGACTGAGAAGAGCTCTCTGAAGATAAAGCAAATCTAACAGGTGAATTGGAAGGGAAAGATACAGAGGTGAGTCTTCTAGGAAAAGTTACTGAGGCCAAGAAGCTACAATCAAGGTTCTTGAATACTCAATTCTGGGAGAAACACTATGGATAGTGAAAGGAGGGCTTAAGAACAATTTTGGCCATTTTCCCATTTTTACCTTAACATCTCTATTTGCAGCTCATGTCATGATCTCATGTGACAAATATGAATGTTTACTTCTAAGAAATTATGAATTTTAAAATGTAATTGGGCCAGGAATGGTGGCTCATGCCTGTAATCCCAGCACTTTGAGAGGCCAAGATGGGAGGATTACTTGTGTTCAGGAGTTTAAGACTAGCCTGGGCAACATGGTAAAACCCCATCTCTACCAAACATACCAAAAAAAAAAAATTAGCTAGGAATGGTGGGGAGTGTCTGTGGTCCCAGCTACTCTGGAGACTGAGGTGGGCGAACAGCTTCAGCTTGCAAGGCAGAGGTTGCAGTGAGCTGAGATTTGGCCACTGGACTCCAGTGACAGGATGACACTCCCTCCTAAAAAAAAAATGGAATCAGCTTACACTACCATTATACAGATTATTTCCTGAAAACAGTCATTCAATTATAGTCAAATGTATTTTCCAATTTATGTCTGCATAACTTCCTGTTCCTATTTGTATGCACTACCTTGCATCATTCCATTGATATGAGGACCTCCTGGGTTCCAGGCACCCTGCTAGGCAGTCAGAACAGCACACTTAGATATCCTAATTCAGGCAAAGGGAAGAGGTACACTGCCTCCCTACAAAGGGCTATAAATTCTCACTATAAATTTCACGAAGTCAAAAATCTGGCCTCAAAACTGAAGGTCATCTAACGATGGAGAAGCGATTGTCATCTCCCCTCTCTCCCATGTCTAGGTTCAAATCATGGAACCTCTCCCAGCCATTTTTCTAGGATGATTCCTTCCTTCTCTCCCTCCCTCCCTCCTTCCCTCCTTCCCTCTTTCCCTCCTTCTTCCTTCCTTCCTTCACAGAGTCTTGCTCTGTGACCCAGGATGGAGTGCAGTGGTGCAATCTCAGCTCACTGAAACCTGTGCCTCTCTGGTTCAAGCGATTCTTGTGCTTCAGCCTCCCAAATAGCTGGGACTATACAGGCTGCGTGCCACAACACCTGGGATTTTTAGTAGAGACGGGGTTTCGTCATGTTGCCCATGCTGGTCTTGAACTCCTGGCCTCAAGCGATCTAACCACCTTGCCCCCACAAAGTGCTGGGATTACAGGCATGAGCCACTGCGTCTGGCCTCACTAGGATGATTTCTTATTTGCTCTTGTTGCTCTCTCCCTATCCCTCAGATTTATCCTCTCTGAGAGAGTTACTTGCTTAGCACCGTGACTCACATAGGCTAAAAAATGAACAGCAAGAACATTTTACGGTGTCTGAGTCCTATGTTGTTTTACAATAGCGGGGGTTCAGTTGTGATATTGTTAACTAGAGTGTACTATGCTATTTTAAAATAACTGAAGAGATCACAAGTATGGCCAATCTTTATGAGGCTGCTTATATATATCTAGCAAGCTTATTTAAAACCTAGGAGTTTTCTTTCTCCAAGAACTTTGAATGAACGAGTATTTTGTCTTTTTTATTCAATAATGGAGGACAGCACAAGCTCAATGTAATTACTTTCTAATAATCTGGCTAGTTTTACACTTTCCAATATTGAAAAACCCAAGGTCAATTTTAATTACCATGGACAGTTTCAGATTTCAATATTATATTCCAACCAAATAACTCCAGTGAATTTTTAAAAAATTCTTATTTATTGTGAATACTTTTTATTTAAAAAAATGTAAAGCACTTTCGAGTGCTGCTTTCCGATCTGTTGGGTGTTTCCACCAGCCTCTTTCCTTCTCCCTTTGAGTTATTTCAATGACAAGTCACTATAGGTTTAATGTAAGATGAAAGAAAATTCAGGTAAAAGCAGGCATTATAAATATAATAATAGTTTTTATGATAAGCTTACCCAGCTTTCCTTGCCCATTATCAGAGCGGTGGCGACAAGGATGAAACTGAACATCTTTGCCATGTTCCCCCTTGAAAAAACTGCAAAAACAAAAAGAATTTCAAAAATGTCTCAACCTTGAATTTTTCATGAGATCAGAGTTCAGACTTAAGTAGGTCCAGGAAGTCAGATGTAGCTGCAGGCCAACCCTAGTCTTAGAGTTGCCAAGGAAATTGTCCCAGACTTTCCCAGCCTCTCACCGCACAGAATGACATTCATTGTTAACCAGAATTGAACCTGTTCCATCACTAAAACAGAGGAAGGACTCCGGTTCTTTTTGAAGTTCCAATGTGCTGTTTGTGTAATGCTGTGGAAAGGCACAGAAGCATTTTAATCAGTTACCTAATGTTACACAACAAGGAAGTGACTCAGTCAAAATACGGACACAGGTCTCTGCTTACGGAGCTTGAGTCTTTTCTGCCTGTGTTGCTCAGGCTGGTCTCAAACTACTGGGCTCAAGCGATCCTCCTGCCTTGGCCTCTCAAAGTGCTGGGTTACAAGTGTGAGCCACTGCCTAGAATAAGATTCTTGAAAGCGAAGATCACACCTTGCCCATTTTGGTATCCTTAGCATTTAACTCATGTGGCGACCCCAATAACTGTTGTTGCCTCTGCAGAATCAGGAAGTAAGAGCCTTCTCAGAGAGGAAAATGTGATTTCCTTGCTTTGAACTGCAGTCTGTTTATACTGACACACTTTCCTCTTTCATGGGAAGACAAACGGCTAAGTGTAGTTTTGAAGGTAAGAGTTAAGAAGGAGTTGGGGACTTTTGGTTGAACTGAACACATGAATTAAGTGTTTTTCTTCTCACAAAGCCCACTAGAAAATGAGCAAAAAGTGTAAAAGACGCAAATTGACAAAGTCAAAGAGAAAGGGAAAGAACAGCAAGCGTGCAAGGTCAGCATGTTGGTGGGTGAGACCTGGTGCGGTGGCTCACACCTGTAATCCCAGCACTTTGGGAGGCTGAGGCCGGCAGATCATTTGAGGTCAGGAGCTGGAGACCAGCCTGGTCAACATGGCAAAACCCCATCTCTACCAAAAATACAAAAATTATCTAGAAATGGTATGGTGGCTGGCGCCTGTAATCCCAGCTACTTGGGAGGCTGAGGCAGGAGAAATGCTTGTACCCAGGAGTGAAGGTTGCAGTGAGCCAAGATCACACCACTGCATTCCAGCCTGGGTGGCAGAGTGAGGCCCTATTTAGAAGGAAAATAAATGAGAGGGAAGGGAGGGGAGAGGAGGGTAGGGGGGAAGGGGGAGAGGGGAAGCAGGAAGAGGGGAAGGGAGGGGAGCAGAGGATAGGGGAAGGGAGAGGAGAGGAGGAGAGGGGAGGGGAGGGAAGGGAAGGGGAACCTAGAGACGAAAGGGAGGGGAGGGGAAGGAGGGGGAAGGGAAGGGAAGGGAAGGAAAGGGGAACCTAGAGATGGAAGGGAGGGGAGGGAGGGAAAGAGAAGGGAAGGGAGGGGAAGGGAAGGGAGGAGAAGGGAAGGAGAGGGGAGGGGAGCAGAGGGAAGGGGAACCTAGAGATGGAAGGGAAGGGAAGGGAGAGGAACGGAGAAGAAGGGAGGGGAAGGGAGGGGAACGGAAGGGAGGGGAGTGGAGGGGAGGGGGAGGGAGGAGAGGGGAGGGGCGGGAAAGGGAAGGGAAGAGAAGGGAAGGGAAGGAGAGGGAAGCGGAAGTGAGGAGAGGGGAGTGGAGGGAAGGGGAATCTAGAGATGGAAGGGAGGGGAGGGGAAGGGACGGGGAGGGAAAAGAGAAAAGGAAAGAAGAGAAGGTGAGTAGGGGAGTTGGCAAAGCAGCAGCGGACAGGAGGGCCATGAGAAGTGGGAGAAGTCGCATTCGGTGGATTCTGGATTGGAATTGGAGGCATTGCTCACTTGGAAATGAAGGTACAGGCCAATGCACTGACAGTCAGATCCTCACCTAAACCCTAAGCAGCCAGGGGAATGCTGCTTCTCCTACTCTTTCAGTCTATGGAAGATTTACTTTCTATTAAGATTGCCGGGAGACAGGAGGCTGAGGCAGGAGAATTGCTCAGGAGGCGGAGGTTGCAGTGAGCCGAGATCGCGCCATTGCACTCCAGCCTGGGTAACACGAGCGAAACTCCGTCTCAAAAAAAAAAAAAAAAAACATTGCCAGGAGACGCTCCCGTTGAGAAGGGCGAGGCTTTCCCAGGCCACTTCCCTTGCAGCCGGGCAGCCGGCTCTGCACTCTCCCTGCCACTTTCCAGGCCAGAGAACACGGGATTCCTCACTGGGGGGACGCAGAGCTTCACAGAAAAGGTCTTCAGAGACTGATACTGGGGATTCTCCATCAAAGGAGCCTTTTCCTTGACTGATCACTCTCCGAAGAAGCCCACCAGTTGGAAAGCCTCCTTCGTGCACCCGGGAGAGGTATAAAAGGTACAGGTACGTTCGTTTGCTTATTTTTTTCAATGTAGGACTTCTTTCTGAAAAGAGGCGTATTTTACATTTCATTCTCTGTCCACATCAAAGAGTCTAAAGAGAAACACCAAATTTCTGTATTACAGCACTGGACAGAAATTCATATAATAGCAATTAGTCCTGATTTAACTCTTCTTCCTAGTACTGTGAACAAAGTAACCAAGATGGGCCGGGTGAGGTGGCTCACGCCTGTAATCCCAGCACTTTGGGAGGCTCAGGCAGGTGAATTATCTGAAGTCAGGAAGCGAAAGGCCCATCTCTACTAAAAAACAAAAACAAAAACAAAAACAAAAACACGGCTCTCTGCTCCTCCTGTTCGACAGACAGCCACATCTGTCTCCCACTGCCAGCCACATCCCTGAGACACCATGGCAAAGGTGAAGTTCGGAGTCAACGTTTCTGGTCGTGTTGGGCGCCTGGGTACCAGGGCTGCTTTTAACTCTGGTAAAGTGGATATTGTCGCCATCAATGACCCCTTCATTGACGTCAAATACGTGGTCTGTATGTTCCAGTATGATTCCACCCATGGCAAATTCCATGGCACCGTCAAGCCTGAAAACCGGAAGCTTGTCATCAATGGAAATCCCATCACAATCTTCCAGGAGCAAGATCCCTCCAAAATCAAGTGGGGCAATGCTGGCGCTGAGCACGTGGTGAAGTCCATTGGCATCTTCACCACCATGGAGAAGGCTGGGGCTCACTAGCAGGGGGGAGCCAAAAGGGTCATCACCTCTGCCCCATCTGCTGATGCCCCCATGTTCATGATGGGCATGAACCATGAGAAGTATGACCACAGCCTCAAGATCATCAGCAGTGCCTCCTGTACCATCAACTACTTAGCATCCCCAGCCAAGGTTATCAGTGCCAACTTTCATTATCGTGGAAGGACTCATGACCACAGTTCATGCCATTACTGCCACCCAGAATACTGTGGATGGCCCCTCCAAGAAACTGGCATGACAGCCATGGGGCTCTCCACATCATCCCTGCCTCTACTGGCGCTGCCAAGGCCGTGGGCAAGGTCATCCTTGAACGGGAAGCTCACTGGCATGGCCTTCTCTGTCCCCACTGTCAGCAATATCAGTGGTGGACCTGACCTGTGTCTGGAAAAACCTGTCAGATATGATGACGTCAAGAAGATAGTGAAGCAGGCATCAGAAGTCCCCCCTCAAGGGCATCCTGGGCTACACCTAGCACCAGGTGGTGTCCTCCGACTTCAGCAGTGACACCCACTCTTCCACCTTCGATGCTGGGGCTGGCATTGTCCTCAATGACTACTTTGTCAAGCTGATTTCCTGGTATGACAATGAATTTGGCTACAGCAACAGGGTGGTGGACCTCATGTCCCACATGGCTTCTAAGGAGTAAGACCCCTGGACCACCAGCCCCAGCGAAAGCAGGAGAGGAAGAGAAGCCCTCACTGCTGGGGAGTCCCTGCCACACTGAGTCCTCCACCACACTGAATCGGCCCTGCTCACAGTTTCCATGCAAACCCCTTGAAGAGGGAGGGGCGTGGGGAGTCCCACCTTGTCATGTACCATCAATAAAGTCCCCTGTGCTCAGCCAAAACAAACAAACAAACAAACAAATAAACAAAAATTAGCCGGGCATGCTAGTGCATGCCTGTAATCACAGTTACTCGGGAGACTGAGGCAGGAGAATTGTTTGAATACTAGAGGCAGAGGTTTGAGCGAGCCAAGATTGCGCCACTGCACTTCAGGCTGGGTGACAGAATGAGACTGCCTAAAAATAAATGAATGAACGAAAAATAAATAAATAATCAAGATGTATAGAAAGAGATGAAGTGCTGAGTAAATCACACACCTAAATGAGATAAAACACAAGAATACCTACAATACTCATTAAAGAAAAGCCCTAGTAAGTATCTCTAGATCCAGCCTGGCACAGTGGTTCACGCCTGTAATCCCAGCACTTTGGGAGACCTAGGCAGGTGGATCATCTGAGGTCAGGAGTTCAAGACCAGCCTGGCCAACATGGTAAAATTCCATCCCTGCTAAAAACATAAAGAATTAGCTGGTGGCAGGCACCTGTAATCTCAGCTACTTGGGAGGCTGAGGCAAGAAAATTGCTTGAACCCGGGAGGCAAAAGTTGCACTAAGCCAAGATTGCGCCACTGCACTCCAGCCAGGGTGACAGTGTGACACTCTGTCTCAAAAAAAAAAGTATCTCTAGGCCCATTTTTCCAGTCAAGTTATCTTTTAAACATACGATATAATTTGTAGCAACAATTTATAAGAAATCTGTCATTTCACTCTTTTTTATTATCTTAGTAAATATTTTTCTTTAAAATTCAATCATATATTGAGTATGTATCTACATTAGGCCCAGTGATAGAAATAGTAGATATTTTTATATGTAACTTATTAAATATATTCGATTATATTAAAATATTTGCTTATATTGAAAACAGAGAAAATTAACTTTGTGACATTTAAAATGTTTACCAATGTGAAAAAGAGACACCCTCTGTGTATTTTTATAAAAGGTAAAATGGGGTGAGACTAGAACTGCAAAGGAACAGAAGTAATGAAAAATTGGAAGAAAAGATGATTAGCTTTGCAATCAATTAATATTTGC